TGGAGCCAAACATATTCATTAGGCGACACGTGGACTTTTGGACAAAAGAGGACAAAAATACCCTCGAGGCATACCGGGTTTCCTACACGCGAGCAGTGGAGAATCATCCATCAACCAAGTCAGGAGTACCCAAAATGGGTAATAATTCAAAACCTATTTCATTCCATATATGTTTTTATCTCATTTTTTCCTTATTCAATTAGCCATTTATTTCAAACATTCCATAACATCCTCAACCAATTAATATAATCAATATATTAAAGGCTAATTACATCACCAAATTAAGCCCAAAAATCACCCTAAAGGCCGGTTATCCCTTCTCCAAAGGGAGCCGACCATTTCCTTCTTTTTTCACCATAATTTTCCTTTTTTGTGACATTGATTAGCCAATTATACAAAAAACCACCAAAACATTCATTTTATGTTTAATAGCCAAATAAATTGGCTAATTAAACCTAAATCAAACCCAAAAAAACCCTAGCCACCTCCTATCCCTATAAATATACTCTCATTTCTCACCAAAAAGCCAATTCCAACACTTTGGCAAAAATCCCAAAATTCTCTAAACACTCTTTCTTTCTAAATTCTAACTTTGGCATCGGAGGTTCTTCGGCCAAAGCCCCCCCCATTCATCATGGGCGTGTGAGGCTCTTGGCCTTAACCTAAGGTGTTAATTGTTTTGTAGGTGCAAAATCGTCCAAGATCGAAGAGGAAGAAATTTGCATCCACAATGATTCCTACTTGAACAAGGTTTCCTAGTTGAAGTAGGAAAGTGCCTAATTAAAGATGGAATCCTAGTTGACAAATGATTCCTAGTTGACAAAGGTTTCCTAGTTGAAGTGGGATTGCTAGAAGATTGAAGATTCCTACTCAAACAAGGTTTCCTACTTGAAGTAGGAAAAGTTAAACCTAATTGGCCTTGAGTTTCAGCAACAAAGAAGTTTTCCAAGTCAAAGAAGGAAAAAGAGTCCTAAACACTTGAGGACACATTAACCTTATTCTTGAGGGATGCCGCACCTATTTCAGCAAGGGAACCCTTTTCCTTGCATAACAAGACCTTCTAGATGCCTTATCCATTCACACCTATCTAGGCCGTACCTATCCCTTTCTAGAAACCTATTTCCTTGCCTTGCAAGGCTTTCTAGAAGCCTTATCTTTCCTATCCTTATCTGCCGCACCTTGTTAGCCTATTCCCTTGTGAATTTTGATTTCTAAGCCTTTTTCCTTGTGGATTTGGGTTATCCAAGTCCATATCTGATTACCCTAGGGTTTTAGGTGCCTATATATATACAGAAACAAAGAGCCTCTCTTTGCCGCAGCCTTCCACCACTATACTCCATAATTCCTGCCAAAAACCACCCCTTGTTGCACCACCCATCCATCCTAACCACCACCATACATCCCCCATCCATTCCACACCATTCATAACCCCAAAAACCTGTCGAAAATCTCTATGCTGCAGCAAGGAGGAAGGAGGAATCGTGGATACACCTGCTGCCTAAGTTGGAGTGTCTAGGTGTTCTCTTTCCTTGGATTTCAATGTTTAAATTTATTTATCTTTGCTTTGTGCGTATGAGGAACTAAACCCCCTCTTGGCTAGGGGGGATTCGAAACCATGTTTATGCTTGATATATGATTTGATTACTTCTAATTGCGTTTCATAAGTTGTGAATTCAATTTACTTATCTATATGAATTAAAACTGATTTGTGTGTGTTGGTTGAGAGTGCACGCTTAATTTTCATGCATAAGTTTGATGCTAGGATATAAGGGAATTTCACCTAATCGTTATGAACTTATATCGAAAGTAGTCAAGGTTGTTGATCACAATCGTGTTAAGTAAATTCTTGGCATAAGTTTCATGCAATTCATAGTAACAAGTGCCTCGCCAATGCTTATGATTTTCATAGAACTTAATGATCTTTGCTTGTATCTTTGTTATGCAATTCATGCAGGGAACTTGTGAGGAATGCTTTAGGTTGTCGTATGCAATTCATCCAATTCGATAACTTTAGGAAACTCTGAGGGTTAATTAGTGCAATTCACGGTTAATCTGGGGCATTGGGAATTCATGGTTTATTGAGAAGCAATTGGAAATCGTTTTGTATGCAAGTGTGACATGTGTGGAGAATAACCCCTTAGCTAGCTTTCCATCCATTCACTTTAACCAAATTCGTTTTTTAAATCTGTTTAGTTTACAAAGTTTCTGTTGTTTTCAATTTTCGTCAAAACCAAATCCCCATTTATTTTAAAGTGTTAGATTAGTTAGAAATCAATTTAGTTTATGTTTTTAAGTGTCTTGAGTCAAGTTATAACCTATTTTCGTCCAAATTGTGTTTTGTGTTCAAAACTGCCCAGATTGTGTTTTTAAGGCAGTTTTGAGTGTTTTTGTGCTGTTTTGAGTCTTTTGGTTTGTTTTAGTGTTTTAGAGTTTAGTTTTGCATTCTTTGAGTCTAGTTTAGTGTTTTAAACTTTGTTTTTACGTTTTGAGTCAGTTTTCAAGTGATTTAGCAATCCCTCCTAATCCCCGGCCTAAAACAATCCTTACTTACATACTTTGCTACAATTGACAAAAAGAGGGTTTAATTTGTGTGCTTATATATTTCGCATCATAAAGGAATAGCATTATTACTTGCTCAAAAATCGAAGAGGCACCGCCCTCCAAATCTCGAGAGCCAGACTCCCAACATGATTACTTTCTTAAAAATCGAAGAGGCACTGCTCTCCGAATCTCAAGAGCCAGACTCCCAACAGGATTGCTTTCTCAAAAATCGAAGAGGCACCGTTCTCCGAATCTCGAGAGCCGGATCCTCGACAGGATTGCTTGTTTGAAAACTGAAGAGGCATCACTCTCTGAACTTCGAGAGCCAGATTTCCTTAGATAAAGCTTGTCTGCAATCTTCACACGCAACATCAGCTTTCCAGATACCACATATCACTTTTTCAAAGTGCTCTGACAAAGTTAAAACACGTGAAGCTTGCAGCTTCCACTACATTGCTACGACCAAGAAGGGTAAAGGAATAGCATTACTACTTGTTGTTAGGGAGACTCCTATATATGTCAACATCCATCCTCCACGGATAGGCAGACCTGCAAAAATGCTCAACCCTTCCCCATATATGAGAGGGCACTCCCAACGAAGCCTCTCGAAATACTCAGCTTTCTTCCCCCCCCCCAATAATACCTATGCAAACCAGCCACACCAGAGCAAGAGTATCTCATATCATCAGGGTCAAAAGCAAGAGTATCCTATATCATGCTTTTTCCCTGTCTTTTCATTTGCCCTTGTTCTTACCTGCAAGACAAGGAGAAAGAGAGCAATCAGTCAGCACTTGGAATCAAGCTTCCAATCAGGAACTGACTGCCTGGAATCCCTTGCCTGATTACTTACCTAGCATTGCTCTCAAGTACTCATCTTCAACATCTTATGCTTCCAGAAAAGATACCATATCTACCTAAGGAACAAATAGGGCAAGTGAGAAGGATACAAGGAAGCATGTGGAGACAAGCGCAACGGAACACGTGCCGATTCATCTATTACTTCGTCAATGGCAAAAGTATCCCATATTATCAAGGTCAAACGCACTCTTGATTTGATGGACTTGTTTTGACCCTCAAATTCTTGAGTAGGCCTTATACTCTAGAGGAAACCAGAAAACCTTCCAGCCCAGTTCAAGAATAATCCTGTGGAAAGTTACTTCTTCAAAAGCAAAAGTATCTCATATCATCTCTTCTCCATTTGCTTCTCCTTATCCTTGTTGCTGTTTACGACACAAGGAGAAGGAGAACAATCAACCGGAAGCCGAAGTTGATCCTCCGATCCAATTTGCTTGCTTGGAAGTCTGATTGCTTACCTTGTCTGTTACCTCTTTCAGCAAATCTCCTAGCTTGGCGACTTGGGGAACTCCTACTATAGGGTTTTGTATCGCACTTGACCAAGCCCGAAACTACAAGTAAGCTTTAAGTGAAATTGATACATTACCTTGTGCATCTTCATCGGTTAAAGATACCATCCCTAGATGGAGGAAAAATACTTCCAGAGAAGATGCCACAGCTACGTATGAGACATATAAGGCAAGTGAAAATGATACCACACTTCGGTACTTAGAAGTTTCGTGATTATTCAATGGCTTGGATCTTGCAAGTCTCCAATCGAGGAGCTTCCCTTACTCGGGAACTTAGGGGAGCACTGTTTGTACCATACTTGACCAATCCCGAAACTATTGAGCACCGGTCAACGTTATACCGTCAAGGACCCAGAAGAGTTTTCCTCCAACCAGGAGGCCAATCACAGCGCGACATGTGTCGATATTAGAAGCCAATCATAGCGTGACACGTATCAACATCAGAAGCCAATCACAACACGACACGTGTCAATGTCAGAATGAAACTAGAAACTCTCTTATATAAATAGAGATCATTCTCTCACAATATTTCCTAATGTTATTTGTATTAAATCATTCACTTGTACTCACTAAAGGAGAGCTTGAACCTATATACTTGTGTAAACCCTTCACAATTAATGAGAACTCCTCTACTTCGTGGACGTAGCCAATCTGGGTGAACCACGTACATCTTGTGTTTGCTTCTATATTTCTATCCATTTATATACTTATTCATACTAGTAACCGGAGCAATCTAGCGAAGGTCACAAGCTTAACACTTTCTGTTGTACAAAAGTCCTTACTGATTTTGTGCATCAACAGAATTGATGGTTTTTTGTTTGTTTAGCGTTTTTATATAAGGAAAACTAATGAAAAATGTTTGAAAACTTTGAGTTTTAACGATAAGGACAAAATAAAGAGTAAAGTGAATAGTACCATGATTGATTTTTTAGTGTAAAAATATGATTTTTCGTTAAAATAAATCGTACAGAACGCTTTTTGTTAAAGTTTTCTTTTATATAAGGTAATTATTTAGCGTTTTGCTTGGACTTTGAGCAGGAGAAAGAAAACCCAAGATGAAGTGTATTATTTTATGTTAAATGTAGAGTAGAAACTAGAAACTCTAGATGGAGCGTAAAAAAGGGAGAAGAGGTATACGCAAGCAAAAGATGGTTGATGACTGATGGCTGATGATAAAAATTGTTGCCCGAAGGAAGCGGAGAAGAGGGGGATTCAGCCGATTAGGTGAGCACGTACATTACATACGTCAGTCAAGTAGATGTATGCCAACGCAGTCAGTCCAACTGTCAAAGTTAGCAAATTAGTCTCCCTCCTCTCCTCCTTAACACATCCAAAAACAGAAATTAGGCCCTTGCTGTGCGCGTGTGGATTTTCAGGTTTTTCAGTTTTTTGTATTTCCTCCTTCCTACAAACACTCCCCCCCCACGTTTCTGTTTGCTCTCTCTCTAAGTTTGGATATAATTATATATATATTGTTTGGATGGTTATATAGCTTAATATGATTATTATATAGCATTGGAGATCCCAATTCCACTTCCGATCCAATTTCACTTCCAATCCCAAACCATATCTCTTTCATGTCTCGAACTCAAATACAAACTCTCACTCGCTCTCTCTTCGATTGATTGGATTCAGTTGAATTGAATTTTACAAGTATTATTTTTATTATTTATTATAATTTCAGTGAAATGTCTGTAATGTTGAGATTGAAGAAGGTTCAGCAAATAGCTCCACAGCTCCAGCAGCGCTTCTCTCAGACTCAGGTCTCCCCAATCTCTACGCACTTGAACCACCTCTGCCTCACAACCCATCGCCGACGAGACTCCTTCATCGGACTGCAGGAGCGCTACAAATGGGACCACGGCGGCTCCGCTGATGTTCGTATCCGCAAAATCAGAGCCGAGGCCAATTGCCCCCGATGTTCTTTCAACCGCATGGACCTCCTCTTCTCCGATCGCCGCTTACCCAACTTATCTCCTTCTCCTCCTCCACCAGATGATTCCACCACCAAGGCCAAGGCCGCCTCCACCTCTGCAACATCTGCCTCTGGAAACTCTGACTCTGAGATTCGTCAGTATCAGGCCCTCAATCTCTGCCCCAATTGCAAAACAGCCTACTACTTCCGACCCCACCAGATTGCTCCCCTCCAGGGCACCTTCGTAGAGATTGGGAGGCTCACCAACACCACCTCCTCCACCTCCTCCTCTTCCAATCGCAGCGCCACCAAAACCAACAACTCTGACAACAACAAGAAGTCACATTCTTCCCGAAATGGCAACAATAACGAAGGAGCAGATTCCGAGCCCAATACTAATAACAACGGGCTGAGGGTGTCTTTCTGGGATAGTTTGAGGTCATATGCCAATGGGGCTGACCCACCTGAGAACTGGCCTCCGCCTCCGCCCCCAGGCAATGGACTGGCCGTGCATACTCCCCCGGGTCCTCCTTTCGCCCCTGGAGTTAATGTCGTTCGGGCTTCTGCGCCCCCTGGGACTGGGGATGCTAGAGACAAGAATGCTTGGGGCGGTTCCAATTTGGGAAACAATTTGCCCACCCCTAAGGATATCTGCAAGGGCCTTGACAAGTTCGTTATAGGCCAACAAAGAGCCAAAAAGGTAGCTTTAGTCCCTTTTCTTTTCTTTGTTAGCATTTGGGTGGAATGTGGATGGATAATTTTTGTATAAACGTTCTGTTGCAGGTGCTCTCTGTGGCCGTTTATAACCACTACAAGAGGATATATCACGCCTCCTTGAAGAAAGGGTTCGTTTTCATTTTTATTTTTCTTGATCAAATTCATGCTGCAATTACTCATCACACATAACTTGCCATTTCATTTTGTCTTTCAACCAACAATGCAACACATGTTCACTAGTCATGATCCAATCCCAATATATATTTGAGAACTCACTATCCGTATGTACTTCTAAACTCCTTAGCCAAAAGAGCTTGGTCATATAAAAGTTTTGTAAGCAGTTGGAGAATTCATACTATTGTTTCTGTGGATGTATTTAATACAACTGAACCAATGGATTTGTATGCTAGGTCAGGAGCAGAATCAGGAATTCCAAACAAAGTAGATGATGACGATAAAGTGGAGCTAGAAAAGAGCAATGTGCTCTTGATGGGCCCAACTGGCTCCGGTATGATTTCTTCTGAAGTACCTGGAAAAAAACTGGTGTTCCACTTATAATCTTCTTATCTTTGGACTAATCATCTAAATCCAAACCTGGCTATCTGGAAGTTTAAGTTAGAAGAACCTTTAAGAAGTTAACCTGCCCTTCTAACTGTGTTATTGTATGCAAAACAGGGAAGACCTTGCTTGCAAAAACACTAGCTCGCTTTGTGAATGTTCCATTTGTCATTACAGATGCAACAACTTTAACACAGGCAAGTTGATTTGTGAAAAATATTATGAATTGAAAATAGAACACAAAATCTAGCCTATGAACCATGGTTGGTATCTTTATTTGATTTAATGATCTTAGCATGCTTGGTTTTTTTTGAAAATGCAAACTGAGTGCAATTGGATAATGAGGGTCAGCATGGAATATAGAAATTCACTGTGTCCAGCTTTACATAATAACTTACCACAAGGCATTCTTTTTAGGCTTGATGTGCATGCACATATGTGCACACACATTATTATTGTTATCTATTACTGCATAACTGAAAGAGGCAAATACTGCTATTTTGCAGGCTGGTTATGTTGGAGAAGATGTTGAATCAATATTGTATAAACTACTAATGGTATGAGATGTTTGCATATTTCGGACTTACAGTTCAAAAGCCATCCAACTTGTTGTTTCTTATCCTTGCAGTAATATGTTTCATCTTTATTTCCAATTTTCTGGAGGAATGTGTGCATGCATTTGTATGTGTTTTATTCTTGCCCTTTGTATTCTGAACATCTAATACTCTTTGAAATTGTATGACTTCCCTTCTTTCGTTGTGATGTGAGTGTATGAACTATGAATATAGCCTTTTTCCTCCTCTTCCCCCTCACCTTTGCTTGTTATTTTATATGATTGTTAATGCGTTATGGTTGCACTTCTATGTAACTAATGAGAGGGGAGGTTCCAGAGGATACTGATGGTCATTTCCATGCAGTGGATAGGTCACATCAAACTTGTAAGGACAAAGTTACTTCTTTTGAACTCTATGAGTGGTCAAAATTAATAATTTTCTTGCTCGTATTCTTCATTCATATGCTCATGGACTGTTCTTATTTGATTTGGCTGGTCTAGTTAGAGTGGTTTTTGATATAGCAATGCAAATTTCTGCCGACTCAACAACATCTAACTGTCTACGGAAAAAAAAAAAAAAAAACATCTAACTATCTAAGTCATCTACAAAACTTTCCATGTTCTGCTACTTTTTGTTGTTCTTGATTGTAAGCATTCATTAGTCTTCTAACCTTGTGCTTGCCTTTTATATTCATATCAGTTAACTCACATAGTTGATCCTGTAAATAGGCAGCTGAGTTTAATGTACAAGCAGCTCAACAAGGGATAGTTTACATTGACGAAGTTGACAAGATAACCAAAAAGGTGCTGCATTTGCCCTTTCTTATTTTATTTTATTGATCATGGTCATAGGTATCATCAAAGTCTTAGTTTCTTCAGATTTGGTTTTCAGGCTGAGAGTTTAAACATTAGCAGAGATGTTTCAGGAGAGGGTGTTCAGCAGGCTTTATTGAAAATGCTCGAAGGAACTGTGAGTCAGTTGCTTAACACTGAAGTGTTGCTCAGAAAATTATTTATTTACCAACTAATTTATCTTGTTTGGATGCACGGAAACAAATTGAATTGTTGCTGTTGCGTTCTCTAGTTAGTACTCTTTTAGTGTCTTTTAAGTCCATGACAGATGTAAGTATCTTTTTATGTATTTTTAATTTAGAACAAAGCAACTCTTATCAATTCGCTTTATTCTTTTTTTCTCAAATCAATCACTAACCATAAGGATCGATTATAAAGAGTGCCCATTTATGTACACCAATTCGTTAGTTTTGAAAACTTGACATAGAATTCCAATTTTGACTTTGATTAGATCCTTAGCAAAAGCGCTAAGTAAGCAAGCTACCATATGTAATAAAACCGAGGAAAAATAACATCAAATAGAAACGAGAAAGTAAATGCACACACATAAGAGAGAAAAAAAAAAATCCCCAAATGTAATATTTTGTGGTCTTCCCAATTACCTCAGTTTACATTAACTTCTCTAGCACTGCAAGAGAAACTTTGGAGTTGGTACTTGAAAATACTTCTAAAGTCCCAAAATAAAAATTAAACATTCTTGTTTTTTGTTTTGAGTTTTTGCTTTAGTTTTTCTTGGGATGATTGTTCCTAGAAGCACAGACTAATTTTGTGCTACATACTGCATTACACGCAGGTATATTTGTAATTTACTTTCATGGCCTTACAAAATCAGAGTTATAAAGTTATCAGCATGGTTTCTCTGACAACTGAAGTGTAATATATTTCTTCTTGTTTAGATAGTGAATGTTCCTGAGAAGGGTGCAAGGAAGCATCCCCGGGGTGATAACATACAGGTATAGCACTTTTAAGTTTCTGACATATTTTCTCACTCACAAATATGTTAAATCATGCTGGTTATCCCACTGTTGTTAGAACCTAAGAATTCCTAATTCTATTTGGTATTGAATATATACATATCCTTATACAACTCCTAATTGACCTATGTGCACCTTGAAATGTGTGTTCTTATTATTTTTTTTTCATTTAGAAATTTAAGCTGTAGGAGAAAAACTTTTTATTAAATGTTCCAAATTAGTAGTTGAGAAAAAAAGCTTGTAAGAGAAGTGGGCAGGAAAGTTCAACTAAACAAAAAAACTTCAAGAGCGCAGGGTTCCACTTGCATGATTCATTTCTAAGTTCTAACAAGCGGCACTTTGAGGCTGCAACTTATTACTTTATATTTTAATTTTAAGTTCTAACAACCCTGAACTATAACTTAAATCATAAGCCTAAAAAAGGTCTGAAAAAACAATAGCAGCCAAAAGTACCCTTGTGTGGACAGAAGTGCTGCTTGAGCAGCCTGGTATCTGGCCAAGCAGGATGCCGTCAATGATCAGCAATTGCGCCAGTTTCTTGCAACTCGTTGATTTGAAGACAACAAAAGTATAGTTTTTTTTTTTTTTTTTTTTTTTTTTTTTTTTGGGGGTTGGGGGGTGGGGGTGGGCATGGTACCAGTATTTTTTTTCCCACTTGCCACCAGCCAAACCAGTTTTGTACTTTAGTAGGTATGCTGCCTTCCAAATCATGTTATAGTTATACTGATAACAGAAACTAGAACACTTTAATTTTCCAACATAGAAATAAAAAAGGGTTTACAGGAAGAAACATGTTTTGTCAAATCCAAGTGGACTCAATGAGATTACATCATTACCACATTGTGAAAAAAAGATCAGCATAGATTAGCAAACAAATTTTGGAAAAAGGAGTAACCATACCATTGTCTTCCCTGACACAAGTTCTAGAATTATTTCCTAGTTTCAACCACTAATTTATACAAAACCAGATTGTGGTTTTTTTTCCACGAGAAATTGAAAGAGCCTTCCTCCACCAGCCTACCTATTGGAATACACACCATGTTTACTCTTAATGATAGAACACCATAATTAATTAATCCTGCACTTGAGGGAAATGCCACAGCCATTTACCTGACCACATTTAATCCTTTCTAGTAAATTTTGCAATCGCTAATCCTCCTCTTTCTCTTGATCTCTGCACAATATTTAAATTTATTAGGTGGTACATCCTCTCTAATCTCATAACCTCAGTACTTGACGAGCTAAAAGTAAGCATGAAATATAATTGGGTACTTAAGACTGATTTAACAAGTAAATCTCTCTCGTGGAAAGACGATTGCCTTCAAAATATATTTGTATGCGAATTAGCCATAATTGGAGGCCCAAGTAGTACGTATGTCATCCCTTATCTCATGACCCAGTCCCCTAGCTAGGGACTTCCTCGTCCTCTCCTGCACATTGATGCACTTATAGGCATAGTTGTTATCAAACCTGGGATTTACCCAAAACTTAATTTCTGTTGAGAGTTATGCCATTTTTAGCAGTTTTTTTTCCTAGTTTATTCATCAGCATTGGAGTGCTGTTGTTATGTAGCTTATTGTGCCAGGCTTTAGCTTTCTTGTTGAGCTGCGTTTAGTCTTTGGTTTTTCCTATTGAGGACTTCTTGTCCTCGGCTCTGTATCTTTTCCTATTAATGAGCTTGCCTTATTAGCAAACTTAGTGAGATGACACAAGCTATGCATGTGAAACAATTTTTTCTCGAGAAATTGAGAACAGGAAGAGGGAATAGTGTGGGAGAGAAAAGTATGGGAGGATTTTACAACCTTTTTTTTCAATAATAATTGCTAATTACTATTTTCCTTTGGCCGTATGAACTTCTTTTTATTCAAGTAGTGTAAATAGGAGCATACTTGTTTTTTCATAGACATTACAGAATTAGACATATGTAACCTCAAAATTATAAATTCTATTTGGTTCCGAACCTTTTAAAATTAATTAAACTTGATACGATTAATTTAATATATGAACGATAATTGATGTCTTTCTAAGTGTTACTCCATTGGGTATTTGGTTCTAAATTTTAACCACCATCCCAAAGAGGAAAAGAAAACATAAGTCTTTACATGCATCTAATTATTAGTTATTTCTTACCAATATTCATACATATTGTTGCTCTTATGGTTTATTCTTAAAATGCTTGTAAATGATCTACAGATAGATACGAAAGATATCCTTTTTATTTGTGGCGGAGCATTTATTGATCTTGAAAAAACCATTTCAGAGAGGTAACCAAATGTATCATCCTCCTAATCATCTCTTGTTTCTCCCCCTCCTTCTCTACCAACTTTTTTTCTCAAAAGAATCTACTATGAAAGTATCTATCATTCTGACCAGACGACAGGATTCTTCTATTGGTTTCGGTGCTCCTGTCCGTGCAAACATGAGAGCTGGTGGTGTGACCAATTCAGTGGTGACATCATCTTTACTTGAATCGGTATGAATCAGGGACCTTTCAAATCAGTTTGATGCATTAAAAATTAACACCCCTGCACCCCAAAACAAGAATGAAAAAAAGTGAAAAATGGATAAGTTAATCGGAAAGAATTCCTGAAAATGGGGTCTAAATGCTACTCTTTTGTTTTTTCCAGGTTGAAAGTTCTGATCTCATTTCTTATGGACTCATACCAGAGTTTATTGGACGTTTTCCAATACTAGTTAGTTTATCAGCTTTAACTGAGGACCAACTTGTTCAGGTATACATAAATGCATTTGTTCTTGGAGTCAGCACCCTTCTGGTTCTTGACCTGGTATTATTTCTGTTTGTAGTTCGTTTTAATTCGTAGTCTCGTAGACACACAAATAGTTTAGTCAGAAAGCAAACCAGATGTATACGAGCCTGCTACACCTTTTAAGCTGATATACGTAGCCTGGCTTTCTTACATGTATAGAAGTATGGATTACCATTTTCCTCGTATAACTTTTCATTTACAGGTCCTGATGGAACCAAAAAATGCTCTTGGCAAGCAGTACAAGAAATTATTTGGCATGAATAATGTAAGCATTTTGCATTTGATTCTGTGTTTAGGAACGCAAAACCTAGTCCCACCCTCCCAAAACCTCTCTTCCAATGTGTTTAATTGAACTAGAGTCAAGCTTCTGTTTGATGAGACCTTGTACCCCACTTCAGGTGAAGCTACATTTCATGGAGAATGCACTAAGACTAATTGCAAACAAAGCGATGGCTAAGAATACTGGCGCCAGGGGTTTAAGAGCACTTTTGGAAAGCATTCTAACTGAAGCCATGTACGAGGTGTGCAAGAATCCATGGTTTTCTTAAAAAATAATTCTAGCATGGGAATGTTATTAAATACAAAAATATTTACTAAAAAATTGTTTTGACGTGCTTGTCGCAGATTCCTGATGTTAAGACAGGAAAGGATAGAATAGATGCTGTAGTGGTTGATGAGGAGTCGGTTGGTACGGTAAATGCGCCTGGATGTGGAGGGAAGATTGTTCGAGGGGATGGTGCATTGGAAAGATACTTGCATGAAATCAGCTTGAAGGACTCAATGGCATGATCCAACTAATGATTGCATATGCATCTTTCTTTATGGTTCTATGAAGGGATCTCGTACTAACAATTTAAATATCAATCAACGTGTGCAGGAAAATGTAGAGGCGGCCGAAGGGGAGGCGGAGGGTGAATCAGAACAGTCATCCAGGGCTATGAGCATGTAACACTTATACCACCATAGGCATTGTTATAAAAATCTGTAAAATTTATGTATTATTATTCGTAACAATAGCATTCATAAACTGGTGTAATTGCCCCTTCATAGAAATTAGATCAAAGCTTCGGTTGGAATCAAACTAAAAAGAAGAATTTGATTAGTGGATTTTAGTTTATACAGGCTATCACATTCTTTACCACATGTAATTTTGTAGTGCGTTGACAAAAATAAAAAATAGTCATCTTATATTGGGCAAGGTGTAGGTACCGTATAAGATCATTTGTATTATAACCATAGACGATGGAATCCACATTTTTAAGCAGCATGCTCTAATATTTGTGGCAACTAGGGCAGCTGTCAACTTCTCCTTCCACACGTGGGGCCAAAACACGTGGACAACATATTTGTGTGATAATCAACTCAAGGATAGCAAGCTGTAATTTCATATTAGATTGTGAGCACCCAATTTAAAACTAGGTAATTTAGCCAAAAATCAATAAATATTTTATTGTTAAGCTATATATCAAATATAGGTTTGTTTTGGACTTAATCAATGATATATTTTTATTAATTAGGCATAGGTTAATGATGAATGCCACATAAGTTTTAAGTTATTATATATAGTTATAATTTGACTTTTATCATTCTCTCTCTCTCTCTCTCTCTCTCTCTCTCTCTCTCTCTCTATATATGAATGTAGTTGATGCACATAGGCATTGGGTCATATTAGACTTATCACTTCAGCCGCCAATGATTCAACTTGGTGGGTTTGAGCAAATAGGCGTTGGGCCATATTAGACACAGAACCTGCACACTGAGCACTGAGAGCCAGAGAATCCTTAACAGCCAACTCATCAAACCGTTTGGAAAGTAGTCTGTTATCTTTGGGAGTGAGAAGGTTCTTGGCCACCACTGCAGCATTCATATCATTCTTCATCACAGAGTCCCTAACGGTAAGAGAACCAGTAGGAGATAAGAAGGATGGGCGCCATATGTTGTCTTGAGAAGGCATGGCTGCCTCTTCACCAAAGTTCAAGTCAAAACGACGGTCGGATGGGTCAAACATTCTCAAAAATGATGAAGGAGAAATGAGGTGCAATAAATCTCTAAAGCAAGGGGAAAATTCTTACAAGCAATAACTCTCTGAATGTACTTCTTGCACACAATTGGTGCCCTTATAAAAGAAAGGGCAACATGGTCGTTGGTTCAAAAATCGAAGAGGCACCACTTTCCACACACAACATCAGCTCCTCGGGTACCACAGATAACTTTCCCAAAGATCTCTGACAAAGTTTAGACACATAAATTTTGAAGGTCCAGCTACCTTATTATTACCCACAAGGGTAAAGGAATAGCACCACTGCTTGATAACTAGAAAGTCCCTATGTGTGTCAACATCCGTGCTCCGTGGCAAGGCAAACTCGCAAAAATGCCCAACCTTTACTCACATTTGAGAAAACGCTCCCAACAAGATTGCTTGCTTAAAAATCAAAGAGGCACCACTCTCTGAATCTCGAGAGCCAAACTCCCAACAGGATTACTTGCTCAAAAATCGAAGAGGCACATCTCTCCGAATCTCGAGAGCCAGACTCCCAACATAATTGCTTTCTCAAAAATGGAAGAGGCACCAGACTCCCAACATGATTGCTTTCTCAAAAATGGAAGAGGCACCAGACTCCCAACATGATTGCTTTCTCAAAAATGGAAGAGGCACCACTCTCTGAATCTCGAAAGCCAGATTCCCAACATGATTACTTGCTCAAAAATCGAAAAGGCACCACTTTCCGAATCTCAAGAGTCAGACTCCCAACAAGATTGCTTTCTCAAAAATCGAAGTGGCACCATTCTCTGAATCTCAAGAGCCAGATCCCCGACAGGATTGCTTGTTCGAAAATCGAAGAGGCACCGCTCTCCGAATTTCAAGAGCTAGATTTCGTTGGATAAAGCTTGTCTGCAATCTTCACACGCAACATCAGCTTTCCAGATACCACAGACCACTTTTTCAAAGTGCTCTGACAAAGTTAAAACACGTGAATTTTGCAGCTCCCACTACATTGCTATGACCGAGAAGGGTAAAGGAACATCATTACCACTTGATGTTGGGACAATCCTATATATGTCGACCTTCATCCTCCACAGCCAGGCAGACCTGCAAATAAAAAAAATGCTTAACTTTTCTTCATATCCAAGAGGGCACTCTTAGCAGAGTCTCTCGAAATACTTAGCTTCTTTTCCCCTTGATAATACATCTGGAAACAAGCCATACCAGAGCAAGAGTATCTCATATCATCAGGGTTAAAAGCAAGAGTATCCCATATCATGCTTTTTCCCTGTCTTTTCCTTTGGCCTTGTTCTTACCTGCAAGACAAGGAGAAGAAGAACAATCAGTCAGCACTTGGAATCAAGCTTCCAGTCAGGAACTGATTGCCTGGAACCCCTTGCCTGATTACTTACCTGGCATTGCTTTCGAGTACTCATCTTCAACATCTTATGCTTCCAGAGAAGATACCACATCTGCCTAATGAATAGATAGGGCAAGTGAGAGGGATACAAGGAAGCATGTGGAGACAAGCGTACCAGAACACGTGCCGATACATCCACTACTTTGTCAACAGCAAAAGTATCCCATATCATCAGGGTCGAACGTACTCTAGATTTGATGGACTTGTTTTGACCCTCAAATTCTTGAGTCGGCCTTATACTCTGGAGGAAACCAGAAAACCCTCCAGCCTAGTTCAAGAATAAACCTGTGGAAAGTTACTTCTTCAAAAGCAAAAGTATCTCATATCATCTCTTCTCCATTTGCTTCTCCTTATCATTGTTGCTGTTCACGACACAAGGAGAAGGAGAACAATCAACCGGAAGTCGAAGTCGAACCTCCAATCCAGGTTGCTTGCTTGGAAGTCTGATTGCTTACCTTGTCTGTTACCTTATTCAGCAAATCTCCTAGCTCGGCGACTTGATGGACTCCTACTATAGGGTTTGTATCGCACTTGACCAAGTCTGAAACTACAAGTAAGCATCAAGTGAAATTGATACATTATACATTACCTTGTGCATCTTCATCGGTTAAAGATACCACCCCTGGATGGAGGAAAAGTACTTCCAGAGAAGATGCCACATCTACATATGAGACAAATAAGGCAAGTGAAAATGATACCACACTTCGGTACTTAGAAGTTTCGTGATTACTCAATGGCTTGGATCTTGCAAGTCCTCAACCGAGGAGCTTCCCTCACTCGGGAACTTAGGGGAGCACTGTTTGTACCATACTTGACAATCTCGAAACTACTGAGCACCAGTCAACATTATACAGTCAAGGACCCAAAAGAGTTTCCCTCCAACCAGGAGGCCAATCACAGCGTGACACGTGTTGACATCAGAAGCCAATCATAGCGCGACATGTGTCAACATCAGAAGCCAATCACAACATGACACGCGTCAATCTCATAATGAAACTAGAAACTCTCTTCTATAAATAGAGATCATTCTCTCACAATATTTCCTAATGTCATTTGTACTAAATCATTCACTTGTACTCACTAAAGGAGAGCTTGAACCTACGTACTTGTGTAAACCCTTCACAATTAATGAGAACTCCTCTACTCCGTGGACGTAGCCAATCTGAGTGAACCACGTACATCTTGTGTTTGCTTCTCTGTCTCTATCCATTTACATACTTATCCACACTAGTGACCTGAGCAATCTAGCGAAGGTTACAAACTTAACATTTTTTGTTGTACCAAAGTCCCCACTGATTTTGTGCATCAACAAATGTCATATGAGCTTTAAACTACTATAAATAAAGATTGATGAGTCAATCTGCCTACACGTTTTTCTTTCACTGCTATATTGGGAGTTACTCCACATATTGCTTGATGTAAAACACAGTGGATTTGTTTGTCTTTTGTTGAATCTTTTTCTTGGCTTGATAGATAATTTGATACGCCAATGATTTTTTATGAGTTCTTGAAAGTAAAGGAGTAATAAAAAAGGTTTGTTATTGCTTCTTAACTAGTTAGTTTTAGTTATTACTTAATTATTTGTTTTATTCTTTTTTTTTAGACACCATCATTTAGCTATTGCAATTCTTTTCCTGGTAGTGGGTCACATGTATAGGACCAACTAGGGCATTGGTCATGGTATAAAAGATATTTTAGAGGCTCATAAAGGCCCATTTACTGGCTATAAAATTAGGTAGGTCGCTAGTACAGTTCCTTATCTATAATTTTGCTATTTACTTAAATAGACATGTCTATTTCACCAAGCCTCTTTCCGAGACAGTGCCCAGATCGTTACTCATTTCGTGCAGGTTGGAACTTATTCGACAAGGAATTTCTCTACCTTAGGACCATTATAGTTACGGCTGCCGTTCACCGGGGCTTCAATCGCCGGCTCCCTTGGCTAAAAAGCCCAAGAGTTTTCTTGTTGATGATAGTGACAATATTGATGATAGCGACGATATTAATGATCGTGACCACCGTGACTTTGATACAGAGCTGGCACTTCTAACTATGATGATTAGACAGCCACTTTCTATCTTTATTCCCATGGATCCTTTACTCATACTTATTCAATTAGAAGTATTGATCTAATTAAAAAAAAAATTATGTTTCATAATCTCATAATCTATGATATCCTCTTTCTTATATATAGACTAATTATTTATTTATATTATTTTTTGTATTATATTTATTATGAATTTCCCTATTTCTAAATAGAATATACTAAATAGAGTAAAAACAAATATTGATTTATAAATTAATTTTTTTTTTCAATTGGAAATTTCCAATAAGAATCATACTTAGGTAATTTAGCCAAAGGTCAATAAAAACTTTACTAGTAAGCCATATATCAATCACATACTTTTGTCTTGGACATAATCAATGATACATTTTTTTTAATTAGGCATAGGTCAATGATGAATGCGCTTTAAGATATTATAAATAGTTAGAATTTGACTATTCTATCATCCACTCTCTCTTTCTCTCTATACATGTTATATGGGCTTAAGCTATTATAAATATGGATTTAGATCATCGCCGGATCAATTTGTGGATATCCTCCAGGCCGATGGATCTCATCCAGTGATACAAATCCAACGGCCAAAATCTCTTATCCTTCCTTTTTTCCCCTCAACTCTTCTCTTTCTCCCTCACTTCGAAGCTCCCCTCACCTTACCCTCTCCAAAATCAGCGCCCCCCCCCAACACCACATCCCTCAGTTGCAAGTCCCTTGACCTTAAA